CTCTGCTTTGTGTCACTCCATAAGCAGGACGGGAATGTCCCCGTGGGAATGTTCCCTTTGGGGGCACTGAGACCCCCCTGGTCAGGGATGGTTTGGCTGGAACTGGAAGCTCAGAAGGACCAGAACTGGAGAGGACACCCAGACTGTCCAGGAGCTGAGCTGTTTCCTCAGTGCCCTCACAGTCCATTAAGAAGCCACAGTGAACCAGAAAAAATATTTCCCAGAAGGATTTAACAGGGAGAGAGTCTCCTGTAAGTGTTACACAGCTTGGACCCTAAAGCCCATCTCATTCCACCCCCTGCCATGGGCAGGGACACCTTCCACTGTTCCAGGTTGTCCAACCTGGCCTTGGACACTTCCAGGGATCCAGGGGCAGCCACAGCTGCTCTGGGCAACCTGTGCTGAGAATTCCTTCCCCATATCCCATCTATCCCTGCCCTCTGGCACTGGGAAGCCATTCCCCCTTGTCCTGGCACTCCAGACCCTGTAAATAGTCTCTCTCCATCTTCCTTCTCATCTGTCTTCAGGCCCTGGTCGCCTTCCTCATCTGCTTTCCCATCTCTGTGCTCCATAATTATCATTATGGATAATTAAAGTTATAGTTATGTAGTTAACCCTCACTTCCCCTCAGCCCTGCAGCTCCCTCATATTTTAACATCCCGTTTGTTGAGCTCCAATGAAGCTGCTGTTTGGGTATTGACATGTCCTGAGTGTCAAAAATTAGGGATAATTAAGGAGAAGAGCACGACAGGATCATGCTTTGGCTGTTTGAAGGAGCAGCATTTTTGGATAATCCTTACCAGTGAAACACGTGGTAAAAGCAGGGAAGAAAATCCACATGATTCCCAAGGAATTCAGTACAGAAGACCAGTAATAACCTGCTTGGGTTTGCAGCATTTTTCAGCAAATAAACATATTTTTACATTTTATTTTCTTAGCACTGCAGCCTTGAAGGGATGGTTAAGGCAGCAAGAACGGGAAAAATAAGTCTTTTGAAAGCTGCTGCTGTTTGGAGCTTTACTGGGGGTTCTGTGGACATTTTTTAGAGCACCCGGAAGAAAAAAAACAGATTGAGATTATTTTCATTTCTATTTCAATACCCCCTGGCTGGGGTGGGTTAGACAGGGAGCACTGGCATCAAGCCCACTGGTTAATGTGGTGTAAAACTGGCTCCAGGGAGTCAAACTCCTCGGTTTCAAGGCCACCTTTGTGTCTCTGCTCCCCTCAGGTGACCTTTGGGTTACGTAGCATTCCAAACACACCATTTCCCACCTTTTCCCAAGTATTCTCGGGATAAACACAGCAGCCAGAGGCACCCAGCTGGTGGAAAAACAAGGGTTTTGTGGAGTTTGACTCTTGGGTTGGCCTCCAGCCTGGAGACCATCACTCCTCAAGAGAACTTTATTCCATGGGGTGTTTTTTCCACTCGAGGCTGAGGTGGCACTGTGGAATTCTGGCTGGGATGAGGGATTCCATAAAGCAGGATATTGGCCTTTTTTAGGGCATGATCTGGACCATGAGGTGCTCTGCACCCCTGCTGCTGCTTCTGGGGGATACCTGGAGCAGGTCCTGGAGACTCATCCGTGCCTTACCCCATCAAACCTGCTGAGGAAGAATTTTTCCCCTCTTGCCACTGGGAGTTTTTCATGGTTTTAAGTAAAACTGGCAACACATGTTTTTATAGAAGCTGCTCTTAGTGGACAAACAGGGACCTCCATGATGGGCCACACAGGAGGAACTTAAAAGGGAGGAAGAGCTTCCCTGGTGTTCATTGAGGTTGGAAATGCTGGTTTGGGAAGGATTCCAGCTTCTCTGTGTGCTCAGGTTGGTTTTAACCTGTTTAGACATGGGATTAAAATCTGCCTCTGGCACAGAAACTGGCCTGGTTTAGGGTTTGGTTTGGGTTTGGTAAAGGGCTTGATTTATATCTAAGGGGAAATGCTGATTTGCAGTGATGGTAACAGTTAATATGGAGCTTGGCCTGGTGGATTCCCAGATTTCTGTGTGTCCCATGGATGTTGTGGATGGATTCCCTGCTAGTTTTCACGCTGGTTTTCCAGGTCCAGCCCAGAAATTATTTTACATCCTGTTCTTCTGTTCTATCCATAAACCACATATTGACCCCCTAATCCAACAAAAACACTGTTTAAACCCATTCTCTCCAGCCTTCCTAATGTTGCATGTCAGATAATGAAACCCAATCCATAAATATTAAAGAAAGAACTAAAGCCCTAAGAAAACCTTCAGTGTTTAATTTCAGACATGCCTCTCCCCCTAAATAAAAAAGCAGAAAAACCAAACCATTTTTTTTATCACTTATTTCTATTTAATTGCTTATTTTCTTGGGAAGAAAGCTCTTCTTGGAGCACTTAAACCTCTGATTTATCCTCTGCATTTGGGTTGCAAGCTTGGTTTGCTTTCTGCATCCCCATAGCCCCCATTGCTGAAGAGGGGGCTGATTCCCTGACTGGGGAAGTGTTTTATTCTGTAGGAAAATGGGGTGGCAGGGATTGTTCTTGGGTGATAAAGCAGCTCTGACCCCGGAGAGAAGCACCTGAAGGGCCTGAACGTTTATAAAAGTTACTTTATGAAACAACAACCCAGTTAGCATGACAAATACTCTAAATTTTGTGGCATTTATAATTCATCGATGCTGAGCCTTTATTTGCCAAAGCTTATAAAATATACATTTGTGGCTCCCTGAGCGTTCCCAGCAGTTATTCCTTGGCTTTATTGTGGCTGTTCCCTTGAACTCTGCCTTGCCCAGACTTTGCTACCAAACTGGGACCTGTATTTCTGCAGCCTCCGTTGGGTTTTCTCCATTTGAGTCCCATTTTTTCCCCTGGATTTCTGCTGTTTTCCACTGGGAAAGAAGGAAATGGAAGATTAGTTAATACAGTTTGCTCAGCTCTTCCAGCCAGGAATTAATTTCTGTGTTTTGCTTTCATTTTGTCGTGGCCTGAAGGAGCTGTTTTCTGAAGAAGTGTGCCCAGAAAACCACGGGATGCTTTGGCTGGAGTGAAATCTGAGCAAATAAACCAACTTTTTTCCTCCCTGGACTTTGGGGGGAAATGCAGTGTTCCACCCAGAGTCCTTTCCTCCAGGGGGACTCATGAGAATATACATAATAATGTTTGCAGTCATTAGATCTTTGGGTGCCTACAAAATTCCACTTGAGAGGATCTGATCCCAACACCTCCTAAAAGCAGGCCCTTTCAGGGAGTCTCATCCTGGATGCTCAGAAATGTCCATCCTCAAATCTGCTCTCCAGAAACACCCTGGGTAACAAGGAAAACTCTCTGAGTTCCTGTCCAGGGGCTCCTCCAGGATTTTTTTTCCTCTTTCCATTCTGGCACATGAAAAGAGG